TATTTCATTTTCTTATTGTTGTCCAACATTATACCATGAAAGCTATGATATGGCCCCAGTGTTGGGGAGTAACGGAATACATGTACCGCCGTTACGTATTTAAAATACAAAATATGAGTAACTGTATTCCGTTACAGTTACCGTTTAAAAAGGTGGTATTCAGAATACAGTTACTTTGTTGAAATAAATGGATTACACTGCGGTACTTTCCTGTTTCATTTTGTCGCGGGTCAGGACTGTTTGGGTTTTGTTTGACAGCTACGTTCTGTTGTTCCAGGCGGCAGCGTTACGGTTGCCATGGTTACAGGGCGACGCTCTCTCTCTCTCTCTGCGACTGTGTGTTTCCTGGGTGAGAGAGCGCCTTTTTGTTGTTGTTGTTGTTGTTGTTGTTGTTGTGCTAAGCTAACAGGCAGAATGCTACAAGCATAGCTCTAAAGAATGTAGCATCATGGGCAGTGTAGTCCGTGTTGCAGGGAGAATGGACTGCCACACACGTTATGTGTCTGTGAGCGCGAGGAGGGAGAAAAAGGGGAGTGGAAAGGTACGAGTTGTCATCGAGCAAAAACGGGAGCTGGAAACATGTAAATGTAATAATAACCACTTCAGCCAAGAAGAGTGCCTGACGAGCCCAGTTGTAAGTAAGCTATTAAGACTCGACTGTACACCGTGTTCGTGTTTTCCTCCGAAAACAATAAGTTCCGTTGGAGCAGTCTTTCAACGCCTCTCTCTGTCTCTCGCAAGAAAAGTTGACCCACACAACAAAGTAAAGCTATTTTTCGGCTACGAGCCGACAGGGACCCCGCCGTATTAGTCAGAGGTCCCTTTACTACAGTTCGGAGTCGCGGACCTTCAGTAATAGTAATAAATCACACAGCAATAGTACATTCACGTTGTTGTAAAAAGCATGATAATATATTAAGTAATCCAAAGTATTCAGAATACGTTACTGTCATTGAGTAACGTAACGGAATACGTTACAGAATACATTTTGGGGCATGTATTCTGTAATGGAATACATTCCCAACACTGTATGGCCCAGCCCTACGCAGTAGGCTGAAGAGGAAAACAAATCAATGAGTAACTTATACTGATAATAAGAGGGGCTAATGAACACGTTCACAGATCCTGAGAGCTGCAGAGCTTCTTATTATTCAGCAAACATTACGCTACTGGAATTACTGCTTATTTTGTACACAAACGTCCACACACAAATAAAATCCTCTTTATCATAACTGCTCTCCATGTGTCTCCATTTATGAACATTTTTAATTAGATATAGATATTCTAAGTTACTGACTAATACGCTCAGTGTATTATACAATAGTTCATTGGAATATTTAATGTATACTTTATTGATCCCCGTGGGGAAATTCCTCTCTGCATTTAACCCATTCACTTAGTGAAGCAGTGGGCAGCCACTGGGCGCCCGGGGAGCAGTGTGTAGGGACGGTACCTTGCTCAGGGGTACCTCAGGGGAATCGAACCCCCGACCTTCCAATCATGGGGTCACCACTCTACTGAGCTATCCCTGCCCAACAGGTTAGAGCCAAACTAAACTGCTCCTTTCTAGTCTGGTGTATACATGAGATGTTTGAATTTAAATTACTGGCATGTCATTACAGCTTCATATCCGTCTCATTAATCACACCAGCTCTGCTGTTAATCTAATGAATCTGTGTCTGCGATCTTTTCTTTCAGTGCAAACATATCCTGGCTGTGTACCTGAGTCAGGCTATGGCTGCGACTCAGCAGGAAAGCGTATCTGATCAGCAGATGTCCCTGCTGCTCAGTGGGACGATGGACCCGTGACTGCAGGTAGATCGACACACCTGGCCCTGCAGAGGCATGCGCCGGAGCACCGAGCATCCTGGATAGAAGCCAGTGTAGTGACATTCATGACACAGCAGGGAACGCTGTTATGTCTCTCTGAAAGACCACAGATGTTGTTCTATTCATCTTTTCTTTTGGAAGAGTTCTTAATCTGTTTTCAAGGAAATAACATCTGTTTGCTGAATATGGACTGCTCTATATTTGGTCTCCTTTTATCTGAAACTGTCAGTTCATGAGGCAGCATCTTCATACTGAAAGCACTTAAGAAGCTTTCCAGTGTGGGAAATTTAGACTGTCACATGGTTTGCAATTTTAACCTTGGGGGGGAAAAAGCTGGCGTTTAACAATATAAACATTGCCTTTATTAACAAAATAGTTCACCATACATACAGCTTTTATCATGTTAAATAGCAATATCAGTTAGCAGTTTTGTTGGAGAAACCAAAGAATGGCCTCTGGAAAACTTGAACATCAGCTTGACCACAGAGGAAGTTTTTCCTGATTAGTAGCAACTCTGACAGACAGGTACTTCGAAATGAAAGGCAGGAATGTTGAATTCAGTCAACTTATTTCGACTTACTGTTGAACTTGAAAAAGAAGGCAATAGTTTGACATCGATAGCTGGCTGAGAAAAGCTGAACACCTACAGTACTTTTTTTCTTTTTTCTTTTTTTTTTTTACACACATCAGTCAACATAGAAAGTAATACAACGTTACAGTGTAGATGTCTCCATTGGAATGTACTAAACGCTGCACACTCCTGTATTTTAGCCCTTGAATTTAGTCAGAGGTGGATCACTACACACAAAAGCAAATGAAGTGGGGGAGATAATGAAGCACTGGAGGCAGACGCTACGCTTGTTTTAACATCAACAAAACGTGGTTCGACACCACCAGTGAAGCACAGCTAACAGGAAATGATCAGAAATGTCAGTGCATTTGTGTAGTGATGGGTCTCTGTTGACCAAAACACCTGCTCATTTTCACTCAAGGTGTGAGAATTCAAATAAAACCGCTGTGCTCTGGTTAATCTTACATGCTCTTGTATATGCTGAGCTTTGAAAGTTACAGCAACACTTCTGTGAGGTTTGCTGCACTATGAGCACCACTGAGAGTGTGTAACAAATTATTTCTCTAGTGTTACCCTATCCTTTATTCTTTTTTTCTTTTTCTTTTTTTTACTTCAGTTAGACTCAGTTAAAATGGCCATGTTTACTTAAATTAAAAAGCTAATGTCGGTGCAGTCTTGACGACTGGCTTCACTAAGAGGGCCTCGGGATTCCAGCTGAGACTGTCTATGTGGGGGAGGGCATTGTCAGCTGTACTCCTGAGGCAAGTCACATTCATTTATTCCCAAATAAATCAAAGCAGTGATGCTTTATGCCTTTAATTGCTTGGATACAGAATAATAAATCAAATTGCAATGATCTGAAGAATCAAGTTTGACTTGGCTTTCAGGTCTGCTACAGTATCTACAGTATGTCATCATGTGGCTCAATAGAAAGCAGCTTTGCACAGATGCAATGTTTCCATGAAGGGTGCAATCAGTTATTCCTCTTCCTGAGCATTTGAAAATGTAAATCATGCAGAGCACAACCACACGTGTTGTGTTGAACTGCATCATATTAATGGGTCTGCCTTCGCTCAAATCAAATTGTGCTATTTTTCTGCAGCTGCAAGACAAGGTTGGTGAATCCTTTGGAATTACAAGGATTTCTATATCGATTCTCCATGAAACATGGTCTGATCTTTATCTAGGTCACAAATATAGATGCACAGAATCTGAATAAAGTGGTTACAAAGAAATGACTGTACTTTCATCGCTCACAGTGCCAGGGCGGAAAACCGAACTGCACTTCTGTGCTCACAACTACTCTAAAAGTTACTTGAAGACAAAGGTTCTCCAGTTAAGGAGATGAGAGGGTGTGGGTTATAGGACTTTGAAAATCTCCCCCCCCCCCCCCCCCCCCAAAAAAAAAGAGATCCAATCAAAAAAGTCTCAGAGATACGCACAGGAAATTCCAAAGTGTTGCTCGTCTCTTCCCTGCAGGAAAAAAAAAAAGAAGAAACTGGGAGTAACACCAAATTAAAGTTGGATAATGGATATCAAACACTAGACAACTTGGGTATCCAGTAACACTTATGGGCCAAGAGTCTATGGACATTATTAACATCTGTGTTTATCTGGAATTTTCACATTGGCTACAGAAACTAAACCCTGCAAGTAATCAATGCAGAAATCCTGGTAATTCCAAGTGGTCCTCTAACTACGACTTCTAGGAGCCAGAAAGTGCTTACTCAGTATAATAGCCACTGGAGTAGAGCTAATTTTTGCCCCTCTCCCCAAAAAGACCCTGTGGCTATGAATCGTGATTCATGTGGAAGAAAAAATTTTGTTTTAATTTTTCCATTTCTCCCTGTTTTGTTGTTTTTGTTTTTTAAATCAGTTACCATAACTTCCACAAAGCAGAAAAGTGCATTTTTCTTCCATCTCTGCACTGCCGAGCTCTTCTGCTTGCGCATGCGCACACACACACACACACACACTCACAAGAACACCTGCAAACACTGGCACTTAGTTGAGTTGAGCAGTTGAGCAGCAGACAACATTGAGAACATTTCTGCTTCATACAGATGTTACATTTGTTATCTGACTCTAATTTTGAATTGATATGAAAGTTACTTTTTTTTAGCTCCTCCTATAATTAAATAAAAACTATAAAAACAATCTGTCTGCATACTAAGGTGTGATAAGTAAGAGTGTGAGCTCAACTTTTAAAGGTTCACAAGCCAAAAGTAACCACGGACATACTGTACCTTTTAGGTCCACAAGTACAGATGTAGCCACACAAGTTTGTTTGTTTTTTGAACTTTACATTCTCAAAGATATATATTTTTGTAATAAATAAGTTAATAAACAGTGGCACTGAATGTTGACAATATAAAATATAATGGCAGTAAAGAGGAGTGTTTGCAGTTGTAACATTATGTTGGATTCAAAATGATAATCCAACATAAAGATGATAAGCAGTAATTTTTCTTAGTTTGGATCCCATTCACAGTCCAACAAATCCAGTTAGCTTTATATATGGACATGTTAATAATGTCCATATATATATATATATATATATATAAATAAATTTTTTTTATTTATTTATATATATATATATATATGAATAAAAATAAAAAATCCCACTGTAGCGGACAAACACAGTGCCTTTTATATGGATGCAAACACGCGTTCCAATTTCTTATTTGGTGCGCATCTTCTATTTTGACAGCGAATGCGCACCTGTGGACCACTTATGTGCACCCCTGTGTGTGTGTGTGTGTGTGTGTGTGTGTGTGTGTGTGTGTGTGTGTGTATCCTTCACAATAGAAAAGATTTGTAAGACTTGCTATGAAACATATCATTGCTTGGCCCCTGATACTTTGCACTGTTCATAATTAAATGTCCACATTCAAGGCGCGTTTGACATCTTTACATATCATACCATTGTTCTGTAAACATTAGAAAACTGGGAAAGTCAAGACTAAAACAACAATTGACACAGATAATACTCCTGTACGGTTCCCTATAGCAGAGGGTCGATGGTCATGTTGATTTGGTCTTTGTTGCGTTTGCTGCCATTGGAGCTGAGGGACTTCTCCTTTTTGCATGTAAAGGGGCTCAGGATCTTGCGGAATGTGACCCTGAAGTCCCTGATTCGGTAAGCATAGATGATGGGGTTTACTGCAGAGTTGGCGTGAGACAGAATGATGGCCACGTACATGACGACCTCCAGCTGTAGCTTCTGGTAAAACAGCGTGACACAGTTGAGGATGTGGACAGGCAGCCAGCAAATGGCAAACAGTCCCACGATGATGGAGAGGGATTTGGCAGCTCGGATTTCCTTCTGCAGCAACCCGTGATTTTGGCTGTCGCCGTTGCCCACGCATTTCAGCTCGATCTGCCTCAGTTGCTTCCTGGCCACGTTGAATATCTTCAGGTAGATGCCCAGCATGATGAGCAGTGGCAGCAGCACGCAGACAAAGAAATTAAAGTACACCATGTAATGCATGTCTACCACGCTCTCAAACAAGCACGTGAGCTTGCAGCTCCGTGGCAAGTCCCCCGTGGCACTCGGCGCTGCTGTGATGCTAGCGTTCATAGTGCTGCTGTTACCACATTTCTTAGACTTCAAGTTCCATCCAAAGAATGGGATGAGGCCAATAATAAAGGAGAGAATCCATAAAATAGCAATGATCTCTCTGGCAGTTTTACCCGTCATCAGCTCCTTGTACCTGGACAAAACACAGCAGAGATTACTGACTGAGGTTTTGCACAAATATCACACTTAAAGGGACATTATTATTCTTTTACTGCAGCTGTGTGTGATTCACAGTTAAAAACAATCTGTATTTATCTTATTACAACCCCACAGTTCATCCACAGCTGGATCCCTTCACTTGCCAGCTGAGGATTGGTAGATGCTCACCACCAGAGCTGGTTATTTAAGGCGACTGTATTCGCAATATACAGTCTTACTGACATAGAAGTCAAGTGCTTAGAGCAGGGCTGCCCAATCCCAGTCCTCGAGAGCTACTATCCTGCAGCTTTTAGATGCATCCCTACTCCAACACAGCTGAATCAAATGGTTTGATTACCTCTTCAGCATGCCATCATGTTTGGCAAAGTCCTGATAACAAGCCATTCATTTGATTCGGGTGTGTGGGAACAAGGATGCATCTAAAAGCTGCAGGACGGTACCTCTCGAGGACCGGGATTGGGCACCCCTGGCTTAGAGCAATCTGAAGTAAGAGCTTTTCGGTCACAGGGATTACCTGCACAAACACACACCTCATATATAGTGTTCTTAACAATATTAACAACCTAGCTGTTTATTGTTGGTGTTGTTTATTTAAGAAGACTTAAAATTATGCATCCCCCAAGAAGAATTGGGACACAACAAAGGGGAAAAACTGGTAGAGAATAGTAAACTTTTGTCTTACTTGCAGTGGAAATCCGCAATGTACAACCACACCAACAAAATAAAAGGTTTAAATATGCATATAAGCAAAAATGTAAAAGAAAACCAACTTAAGCTTTACTGGTTTTCAGCGTTGGTTTTGTATAAAGCTCCAAAATGTATTTATTTATATATATATACACGTGTGTGTGTGTGTGTGTGTGTGTGTGTGTGTGTGTGTGTGTGTGTGTGTGTGTGTGTGTGTGTGTGTGTGTGTGTGTGTGTGTGTGTGCGTGCGCGCGCACAGATGTTTGGTTTAGTGATGATTAGTGGTTGTTAAAACCAATTCAAAATCAATTCCCTACAAGAACTCATCAATGCAGTAGAATGGTCTCCAACTTGGTATTTATTCTGTAGTAGTAGATTATTATTACAACAGATGCATTACAATTTAATTTGAGACCACTTGCATTACTTTATATACAGCAGTGAAAGTGATTCAAAGATACATAAATGCATCTTTGTTTGTTTTTTATTGATTTTGTACATCCTGATGAGGACCTTTCTAATCCCAGTACATCCTGTCATCTTGTTTGAATTTGCAGTGATGGTGTGTGACTAGTGGAAACCACAGCTCAGATTCTACTCTAAAATGACACCACTGTAAACAAGACAAAAAAAGATAAACAGTCAGAGCCTTTCCATATCCTCTCGGTGTTGTACAGAAGCGCAGCGTAACTGCGGCGGTGCGCGTTGATCAGGAGCACATTGTCGGCTTCAGAGTGAAAGCATTGAGTCTGCTGCTATCTCTGAGTGTTTCTCACACACAGCTGTGCTTAAATTAATTCCACGAGTACAAAACCGAAACTAAACTTAAGCCTGTTCACGTGTTTGCGCTCGGATGCTGTTTCACAGGCTGCACCAGCAGACCACTAAAGTGACAGACGTTTGAAATGGTGCCGATTTTATTATTATTTAAATCAGTCTTGAGCTGACAACAAGATAATGTGTGTTTCTCATACAACCGTCTTCGTGGCTTGTGGATATGAAATGAATAACTGCATGTGTGTGAGGCCGTGCATCACAAACGCGCGGTTGAGTCACTCCCGTCGTCCCGTTTTTGTCCCCATCATGTGAGATGCGCTTGAAGCACAATTTGCTGTTTCCTCAAAGTGATTCAAGCGAGTGTGTGGTAATGACTCACACACATACTGACAACCCCCCTTCCACTCACACACACACAAAAACACAGGTGGGGGTGTCACAGAAAATCCATGTGACCTCGCCTGCTGCGCAGTACATGACCACAATATATCATAACTTAAAATGTGACTTTTTTTCTGCAACGCGCTGTATGATAATGAGAACTTAAAGGTCATTCTTAAGCCATTAGCTAATAATGAGCTAATCATTAGTCAATGACTAATAAGCCCTTTTTAAAAATAAACATTAACTTTATATTAGTAAGCCATTACTGATATATATTATTGATAAATCAAATTGTGCATGTGAGAAATGATCTGTTAACCATGCTGTTGCCGCACATGGACTGTCTGTGGACAGTGTGGGGAAAATTGGTCCGGGAAGCTGCTTAAAGTTGTCCTTTCTCACATGTGAGGCACAACAGGAAGTAGTCTGCTTCAGGAGTGCTCTCACTGATGTAATTGAGGGTTCTGTCTGAGTAGTGTGCACACAAGATGCCTGACAAATGGCAACTACACCCTAGCTGCAATTTCACTTACGCTTCATTCAGCTTATACACTCCAAATAAACTACTGAACATGGTTCAGGTGTTAATCCCCTGCAAAGTTCCCAGTTTTCTTCATTCTCCATTTTTTTTCTGTCCCATTTCCTGAACACAGTGATGTTTGCGGCCTCCTGAGCTGACCGCCACCTTTTCTGCTCTGCTTTTCACTGTCCTCGCATCCCATTAGGCTCTCACATCCTGGATGCCTGAACCAACCAGACACACTGTAAGCAGCCAAGGGTGAAAGGAAGGTCCGTGCAGATGCTAACACGCACTAACAAAGGGCCACAAATAGCCAGTGAGGGAGACAAATTGAGGAAATGGTTGTGTTGTTTCAGGGGGGACACGTTCACCTAGTGTCTGGCCCCATCACTCACATTGTTCTCACAGGTCATCTGAAGCAGATATGAGCTTTCACATTTGCCAGTTCAGGAGGTCATCATCAACAGACAGTTACAGAGTCAAAGTCTTAGTACTTAACTGCAGCTCAACAATAGTCCAGTGCTTTAAAAAGAGATCTTTTCAAGGCCAAAATGGGCAGGAGAGAAGCAAAATCCACAGCGGAGGGATATTTTAGATCGAAACGATGCATCCCTGTCTGTATGGTGAGAGGATCTTTTGTCTTCGCTTTACTGTGGGGGTGTGGTTTAGGTCTGCTAGTCCCTTCAGAGGGTTAGGGTCACTGCAAATCAATATGAAGTTATTCTGAGTAATCACCTTTACCCTGTGATGCAACATTTCTACCCTGATGGGAGTGGTCTGTTGTATCCATAGGGCATGGGGGGGGGGGTCACTGCATGGTCTGATGTGACTCATACACTGGGGTCTTCACAGTCATTACATTTTATGGGAATTAAATGCCTGTAGGACATTTAGGACTACACATGAGACAGCACTCTCCTTCACCACCACCATCCGAGCACCAAAGGAGGGCTTATCTTTTGGAGAAACTGCATTCATCCCTCCAGTAAACGTCCAGAGAACTGTTTCCAGAGAGCACTGAAGCTGATATTCTGGTACGTCGTGGCAAAAACGGTCACTAGCATGCTTTATGTGTTTTTTGTTTCTCACCACTCTTTGCATGGCCCACTGGCTATGTAAAGCAAGCCTTTACAAATTGTGGACTTAATTATGTGTCTTCCATGATCACCCTGGTCTCTTTATGGGATTCAGAGTACTGTGCAAAAATCCTGAACCACCCCTCAATTATTTAAATATTTGGTTCCAAGCAAACTTTTTTCAAGTGGTTTTGAGCAACAGAGAAGTTTTCCTTTGGACATTGGCAGCTTTTTCACTCATTTTCAGTTGAGTCCTGAGGAATGTTTATTTAGTTGTTTTTGTTTGTTAAGATGCTCAACATTGACCTTTAAGAAGAATAAAAAAGGTATTTACTCCTTACTAAAGGCACTTAGTAAGGAGGCAATTATAAATTGTGCCTTCAGGCACTTTGTCACTAACAACAATGTAGCTTGCCATCACCAGTGTGTGAATGGGTGGATGACTGGATATGTAAAGCGCTTTTGGGTCCTTAGGGACTGGTAAAGCGCTATATAAATACAGGCCATTTACAATTTAACCTGTCGCAAAAATCATTTGTTCCAATTTCTTTTTCAAGTATTTGGCTTGCATAAAATAGTATTTTTGCACCAACAAGGTGATTCCCAAAGAGTTATCAGCTAAAAAGTGAAGCTCTCTCCGTTGTGGGCAGTGGAAAAACACACAGACGAGCACCATCAGTTATGGATTGGGCTCCCCAGAGCCCGGACCTCAATGTTATTGAAGCAGTGTGAAGTCATCTTGACAGGGTGGAGCTAAGAGAGTTCAGGCTGTGTTAAAGGATAAAGCTGATCATATCAAATATTGACTTTCAGGCTTGTTGGAATTGTACAAACTCTGTTTTTGACATTTATTCTGTATTTTCGTGTAGGTTTGCACGTTTTGGTAAATCCCTGTAACCATTTCCCCTCCAAAATGTAAAGAAATAAAGGGTGATTCAAGACTTCCGAACCACTGTAAAAATAACAGCGGTGCCATCCGACCACAGGCTGTAAAGATAGACATGATGAGGAAGTATGCTCAGCTTGCAATACATGCGGCTTCCCTTAGGGAGTTTGCTAGTAAAATTAAAGTCATGTTAATGTAACAGCACACTTTCTTAATCACTAGTTCAGTCTACCTAACAGTGGGTGTTTGGAGGAAAAAGAAGTCCTGTGTTGTAATACTTCGTAGTCATCTACAACTACTGGTTGGCTAATGGTCAGCTGATATTCCCACAAGCCTCAGAACTCTCTCCTGCACATGTAGCTGGGCAGACAATGGTGTGGCCTTTTCTTCACCACTGCTAAAAAGTTTGGTGCTAGAAAGTTAATTGACAGTTGCCCTATTTATTTCGTAGCATACTGTGAACAGATTTGTTTTTCTTTCTGAACCTACAGCAGCCTCACTAACGCTCGGGCTCCAGTCTGAACAATCAGTTATTCATCAATGGTGCGGCAGCGCTGTCTGCATCCTGGACTCCCTGCAGAGTGATGAGCGGGTGCCCTGAGGTCCATGAATAATACAGCATTCTGGCCAAAGAGGGAGGAGAGGAAGCTTCAGAGCGCACGATGACCTGTACTCCTACTCTCACTTCCACCGCCACTCTCCCATGTTCCTCTCCATCCGCTGCTCCCTCCGAGTGTTAATCGCAAAGTACAGCAGGCAGGACAGGGTCCATTTCCCAGAGGGTCCATCTCCTGGACATCACTTCCCACTCTCTCTTTCTCTGTGTGGAAGCAGCGACTGGCTGAACGGATTAGCTTTGGCATGACGACAGCATGGTGGCATCTATCTGTGTTGTGCTCCCCCCCCGCCCACACACACACACACACACACACACACTCACCGGCCCATTTTCCATACATCTCTCCTCTCATCCCTGTCAATGTGCTTCCGCCCTGGGGCCACTGGCCTATACCAGACTACACAAACCTACACATACACACACAGTCTAAACTAACAATACCCAGCTAAATGTATGGCTGTGTCTGTAGCCCAGCTTCAAAAACAATCTAAGAGGTGGGTTGTTCACAGCAGAAAACAGGAGATTTTTAAACTTCAGTCAGATTGCCACCATACATGCAAACAGGGCTGTGCGGCATTTGCATGACGAATGGTGTGTACAGAGCATCTCCATTACATAATTAGCAGATAAGGTAAACAGATTTGAATCTGTAAAGAGTTTTCACTCCAATAAAGACATAATCGCTGAGTCGTTATCCCGCAGATGTAACCTCTCTGTAAAGCTTCATTGGGAAGATTGACTCAGCACCGTATTTCCTGCACTTTGCTGACTCACAACTAAAGCGATACTTCCCTCCATGTCTATTTTTTGAAACATGACCTTTTATGTTGGGGTGCCTTTATTTCACACCCATGAAACGGTAAAGTGCAGATACTATTTGGTGAGTCACCAAAAGAAGATTGAAACATTGCTAAAAGAGCAGGGGAACATTTTGGTAATTAACGGTATTCCCTTAGAGAATAAGCTGACAACACTCATATCTGTGAGTTAAGTGTACAGCTTGAGCCACGTGTTGTATTTCCCTGTTTCACACAGATTAAACAAATGAGATCTAGCAGGTTAATTAGTTTGCTTCAGAGGTGCCGGCGGGCAGGTTTTGTTGCTTCGGGACTGAGCCAGTTCGCTTTCACTTTCTCCCAGCTGCAGTTTCAGCACACAGACACCAGCGTGGTATCCAGCTTATCACCCAACTCTAATATGTGTATTTACCAAATGTTGTTCATGTTGCACTAATCGGTCCTTGTGCGTAAGTGCTGTTGCTCTTGTGGTGAGATAAACATCAGATTTTGATCGTTTGAGATGAGCCACAGATGCCACATTAGTCTTAAATCAGACTGAGACACACTCTTCTTCAAACCATAGTCTGAGAATCTTTCTGCAATTCAACCAGTGTTGATGGTTTCTCCAGACTCTACAGTTGATCCATTTCGGGACTCACTGACTCACTTGCATTTGTTGTGCATAACTCATCCTTCATTAAATTCAGAGAGTGCTCCATCCCTCTTTGAATGCCTGCATCTTTAAGCATTTTTTCCATCTACACCCTGTTTTCCCATCATTCTCCATGAGTACAATCCATAAATATGGATCAGCTGTTTGAACTCCAGCCATCAAAAGAGCCTTTCCTGGTTCTTCAGCCCCTAATGCAGCCATGCATTTTTCATCATTTGTAACATAACTAAAGCTGGATTTACAACAACACCAACACTTTACCACACCCAGTAAACATACACATGTGCTGGAACCAAGACAAGGAACGCTCCATTAACTTTATGAAACATGATCAGTTTAAAATCAGCAGCCCGAGGCGAGAGGGGGCTTGCATTCACAGACCACAGTGGGGGCTGTCCTGCCGCCGTGGGTGGGGATCATAGTTTGAGCTCAATGATGTGCATAAAGTTGTGTTTTGTTTTTGTTTGTTTGTTTTCATTTGAAACCTACAGGACAGAGGGACAAAATAGCCAGAGGGTCTTTTTCTTATAATGACAAACAGGGAAGCCGGGGGCTTGAGGCGGGCATTGAGTGGGTGTGCAGCTCTGTTATCTCGTGGGGCTTAAAACATCTGCTGCTGGCCTTTCACTTCCAAAAAAAAACATCTGCAAAAACACTTTTATCTGAGTTAGAATTTCGTCCTCAGGGGCTGTCAGACTGACCAAACTCACACACACAAGTGTATGGACAATGTGAGCTTGGCAAACGCACATTGATCTTATTATGAAAAGTACAGTATGTACATTTCAGTTCAAGCTCAATCTATGAAAGTCATGGAGAGCACTGTTCACAGGGAACGTATGGAGCTGCTGGAAGTTCAAAGGCAGTCAAAGTCCTATTTCTCTATGAGGATGTAAAACATGATAAATGTCATTTTCCATCTGTAGGGTGAAAATAGAAGCACAGAAGGGGGGTTTCACAAGGTTAGTGGCAGACAACTTTCATCCCAGACTAGTGTCAAACTGTCCTTTCTTGCCAGCATCTGAGTATAATGGAAATGACAGCACATTTCAGTCACACAGCCTTGCAGCAAAAACAACATCCACTTCTCACAACAGTCACTACACTGCTTGTTGTCTAACTCACTAACAAGGTGAAACGCTAAGAACACCACCACCAGCACAGAGACAATCCCCATCTGATAATAAAGCTTGTTTGTTTGGGGGGTTTTTTGTTGCTTTTTTCCTATTCGAAGAAATGTCAGGCAGCAGCGCTCTTGTCCCTGCTGGCAGCTCATCTCTACGTTTTTCCTCATGTGGACTGCAGGCACTTTCAGGGGCTGCGCTGTGGAGCTTAGCGGCCTTGCCATGAAGTTCAGGAGAAGTGACACACTCTGGCAGGTATTGATCTCACAGCTTCGCCTGATGTGTCACATCATACATTTGCATGACTTATCTTTGCATTTTTCACGAGCTGCGGGGTTTCAGATGGAAACATCAGCTGGGGATCAGCTAAAGGAACAGGACCAAACACTCAGATGATGCAGATTTGAAACCAAGCGCATGCAGAAAGGTGGCATTGACTCGACAACCTTAAGATTATGTAACCCAGGGTGAAAAGGGTCAGTTCAAAGTGTTTGTTAAAGCCATCTGATTATCATTCCAGACTTAGGCTTTAACCAAGCTATTCTTACACAGGGCAATGAGCTCAGCAAGAAACTGAATCACAAGGTCACGGAGCTGATACTGATCTTTGCTTCTCTTTTTCTACATGGCATAGTTGAGGGCACTTACTTTCAGCTCTTTTATGAAGATATGGGAGAATGAAAGCAAGTATGTGAATAAAATATCAAACTTCCAGGGCGCATTAAACACATGTACCATTCCTGTTAGGAAATACTGCCTGAAGAACTTAAAAGTAAATAAAGCCTTAATGAATCATTATTCTGGTCTGATGTTTCAGTGTCTTCACACTGATTTGTTCAGGCAGGGATCCCAGCTGTAAAACTAACTTTCTTTCTTTCTTGATTAATCTGACAGACAAAATGAACACTCACCTGAGAGGGATTTTAACGGCTAGATATCTATCAATTGCAATAGCCAGAAGACTAAAGATGGAACTCTGAGTGAGCACCAGGACAAAACAGGCAAGGAAGAGACATCCATAAAAGTCCAGGGGTATGCCGATGCTGATGGTTATGGCAAAGGGGATGGCGAGGCACCCGACGAGAATATCAGCCACAGCCAGAGATACCAGAAAATAGTTGGTGGCGTTCTTCAGAGTGGTGTTGATCGCAACAGCCCAGCACACCAGTACGTTGCCGAAAACGGAAAGAACAGCGATCACTACTTCAATCACGATGTAAAAGAACGTAATCATCTCAGCAAAGTGTGGGGGGAAAAGGACTGAAAGCTGCAGGCTGTTGGCAGAGGAGACGGTCACCCACAACACCGATTCTAGTCCCAGGGGAGAAAACAAGTCTTTCTGAAGTAATCCAAAAATATTCCACACGTGCGAACTGCAAAATCAGCCATCTGTAGAAAAGAAAGGATTACTTTTTTCTCCACACATCAGGAACTTATCCTCACCGCAAAGTTGACAAACCTATAATAGCTGTTTAATACTGCGTTAAACCTCCTGCCTGTTGCAATCATTTTAAAAAAAGTCAACACAATTAACATTTTTACCCACCTTAATGAACCTTTTCATCGTCTCTGGCTCTTATAACACCAACATCGGGCGATCTGCAGAGCGTTTAAGCGGCATCTGTAGATTCGTATCGCAGACAGAGTGTCACCCAACTTCCGACCCAATGGTAGTTTTCAAGAGGAGTGAGAAACGCAAGAAAAAAGGGGAAGGGAGGAGGTGTGTGTGTGTGTGTGTGTGTGTGGGGGGGGGGGGGGGGGGCTCTGTGTCACTGAAAGCCACGCCTCAAACGCACACGCTTCAAACGCACGCATACTCGCGTGCAGTTACAGTTATGAAAGTGGAGTCAAACGGGAGAATCCGTCGTGCGTAATTACGCGCCAATTAAATCGCATTCAGTGATGGGCTGCACGTGCATTACGTTTAACGGAAGAATAGCTTTTGGTTGCCTACGTGCATGGCATGCGCGCGCATCTGTTTCCAATCAGTGCGTTCGGGGACGGCACAGAAATCAAACTCAGAACTAGAGTTGCTCATTTTCTTTACGTCAACCCGTGCGATGAAGTCATAGTTTATATGCAAAGGAGAGAGATTTCTTTCTGTGCAGACAAAGTAAAGTTTTCCCTCTTTCAGAGTCGAGTCTGTTATTGATCCATGCGTAATCCTCTTAAGGTCAGGATTACCTTTTGGATGCACACAGGGACAGCTGTGGGAAAATATTACTTAGAGGAAGGATGTACAGCTGGGTTACAACGATCAGTTACTGCATTCAGACAGTTAAATTTAAATAGCCCCATACTTCATGGGAAACGACTCCCACAGAAATATTTTAACGTAGAAAAGGCGTGTTGTCGAAAGCAGGGAATGCGTCCCGATAGTTCCCACTTACCCTGATGTAAGTGGGCTCTGGCACAAAACTTTAATGTGCGCAGTGGGGAAGCAGTTAAAACCTTTATAGCAACACAGCAGTCACTGGAGCGCATTTAAAACACAGGGTGAAGGCTGGTTCACTAAAACGGAGGCTTTACTGAAAAAAAAAAAAGAACTTGAACTTGACAATGATTTAAAAAAAATCTTGAAATTCCTTTATTAAGCAATATCATCAGACATGTAAGAATAGAAAACTGCTGCATACTGTATCTGTCCACGTTCTCGCTCTGTAGTATGTATGTCTGCCAAATAAATAACAATTTGACCTGTTAAAACATTAGGGCATCTGCAAACAGAGGCTTGCCTGTATACCAGAGAGAAAGTGTTGAGTCCTCAGCTCTTAGAAGCTCTCTTTTGTACTTCAGCATGCAGAATACAGATACAAACCTGTTGCGCAAACAGCTGCAGTAACCATAGTTCAGAGAATTTTAATGGAAAGCATTAAGAGACCGAAGGAGGACACAGCATGATGGTTCAAATCAGGCAGTGCTTAATACTGTACACAAAGCAAATAGCGATCAATCTGTATTCATAAAACATTTTTTTAAGAAAACTATTCAGGAACTCTTTAAGTGTTACTTCATTACAACTATTGTTTGTCCATTCTGTAAGGAAAAACTGAAACTTATCAGTTGAAAATGCTTTATGCGCCACAAAGCTTGGCTCAAAGAAAAGCCCAACTCTTTAAAAACACTCGGAATAAGGCGTGAGCGACGTTTCAGCCAGTTTACCAAAAGCTGGTTTTAGACGGGTTTGCTAGTAACAGTATGTTGACAGAAAGGAGACGTCACGCTGTGCACCCAGGCAGAAAGGTCACACTTAAATCATGCATAGATGGTCCTCGTACGAGCAGAGCATTGGCTGTGAAAATTTGGCACTTTTTTTAACGGTCAGTTGGCACACAAACAACGCTGATAATTAGCAGGTAGCATAAGTGTAAGAAAGGAAAGGAAAAATCATCTACTTTTTCACTGAGTTAGAGACGAGCTCTCACGTTGCAGGGCTGTTGGATAGGCCCGTTCTGTCAAACGTCAAAACCTTTGTTACAGTTATGCAGGCACGTGCAGACGGGGGGGGGGGGGGGGGGCTTGAGCACCCGCCCCTTTCCTGATGAGTGCCCAAAGTGCCCTTTTGTTGAGGCAACTTTTAAATTTTTTTTATTTATTTATTTTTTATGTGTGTGGGCGTGCAGAGTCCTGTCAGTGCCCCTCAACAATAATATTTAACTATTAATCACAGTTAGATAAAATAAAAGGATCTGGCTTGCATCAGTCACATGATCACATTTAACCAATGATCGCCCTTGACGGCAGAACGCGCTGGTTACGAGCTGGGAACGAGCTCACAAAGAGCACGCGCATTTTTTTTTTTGCGGTCCGGAGCTGTAAGAGAAACACAAATTAACTCAGAGATACAGACTTACTATATTTCTTCCATACAGACTGATGCGACAAAACCAGTAAGTAGGTGTACAGCGTACACTGTAGTGTATAGCACCCAGGAGTATTAGCTTATTACGTACACGTTGGTAAGCTGTCTTGTTGCAACTGACGAACTGAAACAAACGAGTTTGCTGTGTGTGCAACAGCGCGACGAACACACCTGTCCTTTTATTAACTGCACAAGTACTGCTGGTCATAGCTGCTGGCTCACTGGGTAAGGCTGTCATGGGTCTGTAGCTCTGTCCACCGTTTTAGGGAACATATTTAGTTTTAAAGTGAGTTTCCGGGCTTTTCCTGCCTTTCTGGAGGGCTTATATTTCACTAAAAAACGATCTAATATGCATGTCCACATAATTATGCATTATTATAAAATTTTAAAAAACACGCTGTATCTTAAAGAACATACATTAAGAAGCAGATTATATTAGATGTATATTTTAAATAAGACAAAATTTGGATTTTACAGCAGTAAGATTATTGTATCTCTACAGTTTAAAAATGTAATAAGCTTTGCCCCTGCACAGAGTGGATAGTGAAACAAATGGAATCATCATAAATACATTATTTCATATTTATTACTTCCCCCTCCTCATTGCTTTATTATTGTAGCTCTAGTAATAAATAATAATGCAAGGATTCTGGATCAGCACCGTGATGCCCATAGTATATACAGTATTCTGAAGAAGGTCTAAAATGTCACTGTGTGTGCATGGATGTATGTGTTTTATTTAGATGGATTTAAAATATATATATATATATATATATATATATATATATATATATATATATATATATATATATATATTACTCATGATATAACATTGTCCAGACATGCCTGGAAAGGACATGAGGAGGAAACAGTAGGAGCTGTGTGAGGCTACTAAAGGCAGGGCTATAACATTTTTCTGTCATCATTTTATTATAGATTAAGTGCAAGAGTTGTTAGGTGTGGATAATTAGATTATAGTTTATTGCAAAAGCAAGTTGTGCCTTGTTCTCACATAGACAGCAAGTGGAGAGTGATATATGAAATGATGGGATGGAAGGAAGAAGAGAAGCAAAGAGTGATTTACAGGCAGAGCCTAAATTATTTCTAACAGTTTTTGTTGCCTTATGGTTCCAAGTGCTGTCACCAATCTTTGCATTTTGTTATTATCTCATGACACTTGTTTAATCAGCTACCATCTCTCCTATGGACTTTTTAATGTCTACAGTCTCAGATCAACACAGCCCTGCCTTCCAGCACTATCAGCAGCAGGAGCAGCAGCAACCCCTCAACAGCAACATTGTACCCATCAGGTAAAACATCGGCTACGTTTGCTTTGCCTTGTTGCCCATATTAGATTCTTGATGAATGTGTGTTGTTGTTATTCAGCCTGGTTCAATGTTCCCCTTTTTAACTTTGAGCACCCGCCCCTTTAAACCTCTCTGCACGGCCCTGCAGTTATGCAAGGTGTCCCTTTGGCAACAGGGCTCGATGCACCCGGTTATAGCGTCAAAAAGACACAGCTACTACCCCATACTCATCATTTTTCAATGTTACGTTTTTGAAGGAGAACATCTGAACCCAAACTACAATTTTTCCTAACCCTAACAAAGTAGCTTTTAACACTAAGCTTACACTAGAGAATAAAAAGAAAAGAAGCCAGGGCATGGAAAAAAGCAAAAACAAATGCAAAAAAATATCCAAACATAACAGGCCATGATCTGCCACCACCCCTACAGCCACTTAGTGCAGACTTTGTAGTTCTCTAAAACTGGGCAGTTGTCTCCTGGCAGCCAGTATTACTAAAAAACAAAAAACACCTTGTACCTAATGATGAGAGGCAGCCAGCATCTGAAAAATGAACAAGCATTAACGACGCATTGATTTTTGTACAGAGGGAAGAAAAGAAATTGGATCACTTGTCAAGTCTCTGTAAACTGTGTTGTCAACTGCTACATAGCTTCAATAGTGTCTTTCAGCATAATCAGTGTGTCTGTGGATCAAATGCTTGGTTGATGCTGAAAGTCTCTGAAAAGTGACTCCAGTCTCTGTCTGAACACGTGAGCAGCGACTGTGGATTTGGCAGCTTTAAATAACAGAATTCCTCGGTCACGTCTCCAGTGTCGAGCAGGAGCAGGGGTAACGTGGCATCATCAGCCCGGTCTCAAAAGAGGTTGTAGGGCTCACAAAATGGGACAGAAAAACCCTTCATCAGGCTCCAGCTCCTCCTACATACCCATCAGGTCTCAAAGTACTTGTAGATCTGGGAGACGTACTGCATGACGCTCTGCCAGTCTGGCCTGTCGGTCTTCATCAACTCCTTAATGTCCTGTTTGGGACAGAGATAGGTGTGAATGAACAGCAGTTTGGAAGTTGAGTGTAGTTAAGGAATGACGTTTCATTTTCAACAGTGCTACCAACAGGCCAAGCAGACACAATTTTTATAAGAAAAGTTTGTATTTGTCTACATGTCAGCATTAAAGTGTATTAAATGGGTGGTAATTATTTCTATGAAATCTAAATGTCACATAAATATAAGTGCTTCCTGAAAAGTCTTCAGTTGATCCAAGAGGCTGCAGTGAGAGTACGGACAGGATATTTAAAAGTAGAATGGGAGGCAGGGCCTTCAGTCCCTGTTGTGTAGAACCAACTCCCAGTTTAAATTTAGTAAACAGGCACCTTCTCTACTTTTAAAATTAGACTTAAACACTTTTTGATAAAGCATATAGTTACTTACTAATGCTGCAAAAGGCCGCGGCTGCTGTGGGACTTCCCATGATGAGTGTTTCTTCTTCACTCACCTTTTACACTCACTATGTGTTTTATACACAACTCTACATTTAATCATTAGTTATTATTAATCTCTGACTCTCTTCCACAATGTGTTTTTCATCCTCTCTCCTGAATTCCCCAACTGGTCGTGGCAGATGGGTGACCCTCCCTAAGCCTGGTTCTGGTTGGAGGTTTCTTCCTATTAAAAGGGAGTTTTTCCTTCCCACTGTCACCAAGCGCTTGCTCATAGGGGGTGGTATGATTGTTGGGGTTTCCCCTGTATTATTGTAGGGTTTTTACCTTACAATATAAAGCCCCTCGAGGTGACTATTTTTGGTGTATTTTTGGCAATATGTAAATAAAACTGAATTGAATTGCAGCAATCCTCATTTTATTATAAAACTCATATCTTGGAGCTTTTAGTGTTTAAGTGTGATATCTGAAGAGAGACAGAGCAGAGTGTCTGTGACAAGTTGTTTAGTTTAATTTTTTTCTGTTTGCGACGGCGAAAACTGAAAAAGAAAAAGAAAACTGAGAACACTGGTTTAAGTCGCGTTCATCAGGTTGGCTGTAGAGGATATTTGACTTCATTATTGAGTTACTGTATGCATTTCCCGAGTAATGTTAATGAAGTCTGAAGATGGACGTGGTGGAAAATTGGGTCATTTTGAGGGCAGTTCGCAAAATATAAATCTACAGCGTAATGAGTCTCCGAGCAGCTGTCAGTAGTCAGCTGCTTGGAGACACCGGTGACTCAAACAGCGAACGAGGCTTTCACATGACTCCACATCGAGCCGCTCCCCTTAGCTCAGATATACAGAGAAGCTTCGTGATGTCTCAGCCTCCTAAAGGCAGGATGAGAAATATCCTCCTGGGCTGTTTATAAAGGATTAATTAACACTGAAAAAAACATCAGCAGAGACTACCAGATAGGATGCAGCTATTTATTTGTTTATAGTGTTTTCAACTGACAGACATGGGAATAACTTTTCTGTATCCAAGCTTGGAACCACAAGCATGTAATGGAGACTGATTAGACAAAGTAATGTGAACTTTAGCCTCAGTGCTCCATTTATGCCCAATTCACTTCATTACTGAGGTCCAGCTCTTGGTGTGTGTTTACATCAGAATTCAGTAGTTCTGGTAAAGCTTATTCCCACAGGCTGCCAAACTTCAGTTGATTACTTCAGCAAAGCCACTAATTTTTTGTCCTGGAAGAAATGAAACTTGACCTGGTTAGCATTAAATTCTTTAGTGTCAACACACTTAAAGCTGATGACGTTTGTGTTTAGAGTACCATATACACATGAAGGAAAAAACATGGCAAAAAGCCCGAAAGCACACAAACTGTACACACCTTAGTGATTGTGTGTGTGTGTGTGTCTGTCTGTGTGTGTGGGTGTGTGTGTTTAGGAATAACTTGGGTCTATGACCAATGGAATGAGTTAGTCTTTACATGTGGCAGTAACACTCATAACTAAAATATTTGATTTATCCCAAAATATAGTCAGAGAGAAGTCGTCTTCTTCGAAAATTGATCGGTTTTGATCATTTCGTAAGGACGATTTCTAAAACAGTGCTGTTGTTTTGCCTCCGTCTGTGCTTTCGTGTGGGTAAGCCTGCATAGGGAAGAAGACGTCACTCACATCCGCTGCAGAAAACAAACTTTAGACATAACATCTTAGCCAAAACGGGATTATGATTTTTTTTCCCCCATTTTGCAAGGCCTAAGGTTTATCTAACCAACTCAATGAATAAGATTAGCCGAGTTTGTGAGAAGTATTGACAGTCCCATACACAGTGACGAAGGAGGTTTTTTCCCAAATTAATAATTTGCAAGCTTACAGAGAAATCAAGGTTAAAAATGTTCATTAAAGTAGTAGTTTAATACTTTAATACCTCAAACAAACCTCCCAATTAATGGCTCAGCTACCCACACAGTACTTCCTTTGTCTCATAACTGAAAGTGTTCAGTCTGCATCAGTCAGCCACAAGATTAAAACCACAGGTAAAGCAAGTGATATCAATCACCTTGCAATGTTCTTGTTCTTACAATGTCCCAAGCAGACATCCTAAAGGGACTCCTACAGAAGCCCAACATTGGCCTGCATAGACATTATTTCACAGCAGCCACAGTGATATGAAATATTAGATAAACACGGGCATTAAAAAAGGCTGTGTATCGTGACTAACACCTGTGTTTACCTTATATTTTCCATAACAATGGCTGTTGTGAAAAAGCTCTTTGTCTTGAAGTTCAGATGTTGATTCAGATGTTAAGGTCACCCTGGGTGACCTGTAGTACCCTAAAGGTGATCACTTCGTTATTGATTTATATGTATACTACTTGTACTTTTGTTTCTTACAAAATGCACATAGAACTGGTTTAGCCTGGGCTTAAAAAAATATCAGGAATGGCGTTCCTCCAGTTTAAGGAGTACTCACATATGATAAATCTCAGTTTAATAAATAATACCAAGAGATTTCATTTTTCATGTGGTGCAGCCTGGCATTGCTTTAGACTGGGTGTGAGCATGAAAGTTGTACCTTTTCTCTGGTAGCTAATTTAAAGTGCAACATTTCAGTGGGTGCAGGAAATAACACCAAACACACAAAGTGTTTCTGTGCAGTTTCTATCACAGTGTGTCTGCAGGTTAAAGGTCCAGATGCGGGGCGGGATCAGTGTCTGATAAATCCACTCTCAGATGGAGAAGGAGCTAAGGAAGGGAGGACATAAGAGACTGAATGATACTAATTTTGTGTTATTTAAAGCTCAGACTAGGCAGTTAGGGCAGAATTGGGGTGAAGTTTATATAACCCCCAACTTCAAAAAAGTTGGGATTCTGTTTAAAATATAAACAAAAACAGAAGGCAATTACAATTCTTGTAGTAAAAGACACATTTTATTCACAATAGAACACAGAAAATATATCAACAGTTTAAATAGAGAAAATGTACCGCTAAGAAAAAAATAAGGTAATTTTGAAGTTGAGGGCAGCAACACACTTCAAAAAACGTGAAACATGAAATAGGGACATGTTTCTCACTGACATCATCTCCTCTTCTATCAGCAACAGACTGTAAACATCTGGAAATAGAGGCCGGCAGATGGGCAATTTGATACATCATTTTATTTAGATTTTACACAGTGTTACAGCATTTTTTGAAATGGGGTTGTAGTAATGAGCTATGTTGTCCTGGTGCAGTCAGGCTGTTGTGTTCATGGCCACTGTTAGTTTAGGTCAAAGGTCAATGCTCCCTAAGAGAGACAGGGAACCATTCACGCTCACATTCACAGCTGATGGTGACTCTAAACCTAGGGCCAGTTTAGAGTCACCAATCCACCTGACCTGCATGTCTTTGGGCCATGATGGATGGCTGGGGTGCCTTGGACTACTACTGAAAACTAAGTTGTTTTAAACAATAAGAACTAAACTGAAAAAGCAAACCCAATGTGTGGGCATTAGTGCGGTTAAGGCTACGTAAGCAAAGATATACCACACACTTTGTCCACACTACTGCAGCAACAAAAATTCAGTCAAACCATTGTAGTCAATATTCTGAGAAAGATAAGCAATAGTTTATGAGTCATATTATTTCTCAATCAAAAAATACAAACTACGATTTCTTTCTTAGTTTTAACTTATACCGTTTCTTGTCTTGTTATTAATATCAAATTTTTAGAGAAGCCTAAAATGTTCTTTTTTTTTTTGTAATCGAAGTCTTTATTTGTTTTTAACATTTCACAACACGAAAAAACAAACAAAACAACCAACAAAACAACAACAGGAAGGGAAAAAAACAAAAAAAAAAAACAAAGAAAAGAAAAGACAGCTTTCAATCCCATAGCTAATCCACCTTTATACTTCGGGTCCATTTTCAATACCTGTTAACTAACAGTACACCCGTAAAAAAAAAAAAAAAAAAAAAAAAAAAAAGGACAGTTAACTCAAATCTTTAAGTCATTCCCTTACTGAGTGCCTACACAAACAAACAGTGCAGCAAGCGTACAACATAACTAAAGATAATTGCCCTGACCAAATAAGTTCCAACCATCTCAGCCAAAAACACGTCCCCACGATTTGTCAAAACCCTCCCTATCATCATTAATCCTAGCCAAGAGTTTTTCATACGACACCATTTTCAGCATAGTTTCTTTCCACCTATTATATTCTGGAGGAGATGGTTCCTTCCATACACTCAGAATAACTCGAGCCGCTGCGATCACCCCCACCTTTATAACCACAAAGTCATATTTTGAAACCCCAGGTAACACCGACCGATCCCCTAATAAGCACAGTCTTGGTGACAGGGGTATCATCAAACCAATCCACCTTCCTATTTTGTCCAACACTTTTTGCCAAAAGGGATAAACTTTCCCACATTCCCAAATAGCATGTATAAATGTCCCTGGATCTGAACTACATTTCCAGCATACATTACTGGGACTAATTCCCATTCTATAAAGTTTGGATGGAGTGAAGTACCACCTGTGTATTAATTTATACTGAGTAAATTTACCCCTGGCCTCCCTTATATACTTATCAGAGAATGACAAAATTCTGCGCCAGTCTTCTTTAGAAATTGCACAACCCAGATCCCTCTGCCATATAATCCTCAAGTTTTCACATATCTCTTTTTTTGGATTGTTAAACAGTTTGTAGAAAACAGCCGCCCTATGTGCTGTACTGGACAATTCTAAAAACTCCACCACCATATTCGAGCTTTGAGCAAATTTTCCTTTGGTAACACAATCCCTTATTTGTAAATATTTCCAAAAATTATTTTCTCTTATCAAACCGTATTTTCGGGTTATTTCAGCAAATGACATAAACACTCCCCCTGAGTAAAGATCACTTATCCTGCGTATGCCTTTGACAAGCCATTCCTTCCAGAACACAGTTTTCCGCCCAATCCGTACAGCAATATTGTTCCATAGCGAGGCATAAGGTTGTCTTAGATGAGATGCTCCACACAACTTGTGCACCTCTACCCAGACAGCTTTGGAATACCTGAGCACTGGGTTATCATGAGAGTCTTGTCCATTAGGTGCCGCGCCCTGTGAGAAAACATCCAAAGGTGTGAAAGGGCTCGCTAGTTCCTGTTCGATCTTCATCCAGCTCAGCTCAGAGCCCGATCCTGTCCAGTATTTGGCCAGTCTTGACAATCCAAAAGCTAAATTATACAACTTCACATTTGGGAGGGCCATTCCCCCAATGTCTTTAGAGGCCCACATTTTCTTTATATTCACTCTCGGCTTTTTGTTATTCCACAAAAAATCTTTGAATAACTTCTCAAATTGACTAAATATGTGCAAAGGAATTCGTACAGGTAACATCATGGAAACATAATTGAACTGTGGGACCACCATCATTTTAATCACATTAATTTTACCCCATAGTGTAAGATTCAATTTACCCCATTTATCCAGATTTGTTTTTATCTTTAGGAGGAGAGGTTCCACATTTGAAAGCATAATATCCTCCAAGTCGGGTTTTAATAATATTCCTAAATACTTCATACCTGAAGGTGAGTACTTAAAATTGAATGGAGTAACGCATCCAGAATGACATGATGCTGACAATGGCATGCCCTCCGACTTGTCCCAGTTTATCTTATAACCTGACAACCCTGAAAATGACTCAACACACGTGAGTAGTGCTGGTAGAGACTGCATGGGATCCGTCAATACTGCTAAGATGTCATCAGCATATAGAAACAACTTGTGTTCCATACCCCTGCATGAACACCTCTGACACCCCTGTTTGCTCGGATAGCCAAGGCCAGCGGTTCCAGAAATATTGTAAAAAGCAACGGGGACAAAGGGCACCCCTGTCGGGTCCCGCGAGTAAGATGAAAAAACCCTGACACCAACCCATTTGTCAAAACCGCTGCCCTTGGACTTGCATATACAGTTTTGACCCAATTACAAAACCCAGGCCCAAACCCGAACCTTGCGAGGGTCGTCATAAGGAAGCCCCATTCCACCCGATCAAAGGCCTTCTCAGCATCCAGCGAGAAGGCCGCAACTGGGGTTAGGTTAGATTCGCTTTTGTGCATGAGATGAAGAAGTCTTCTAATGTTATCACCGGAGGACCTATTTTTAATAAAGCCAACCTGGTCACCATTGATGATATCTGGTAATATTTGATCCAGGCGGGAGGCCAAAACCTTCGTCAAAATTTTGCAATCAACGCCCAAAAGGCTTACAGGCCGGTAATTTGCTGGGTCCGACAGATCCCTATCCTTTTTAGGAATAAGGGAGATCAGTGCTTCATTAAATGTACTCGGCAAGGAACCTATCTCCAATGCCTCAAGGTAAACTTTATGCAGGACTGGGGCTAAAATATCGATATATTTCTTATAATACTCAATCGGGAAGCCATCCAAGCCTGGCGATTTCCCATTCTTCATTAATAAGATCGCAGCCCTGACCTCTTCTTCCGTTATAGGCTCATCCAGTCTCGTTTTCTGTTCCCCAGAGAGAGTAGGTAATTGTAGACCTGAAAAAAATGTCTCCACCTCCCCTTCATCAAGCGCACCAGCAGACGTATACAAATCTTGATAAAATGATTGGAAAATTGAATTTATTTCCTTCGATGAGGTTATCACTTGGCCGTCCTTCTTAATCATAGATATATTATTCAAATTATCTTGCTGCTTCAGTTGTCTTGCCAATAGTCTTCCACTCTTTTCGCCACCTTCATAAAATTTTGTTTTGAGCCTAAATAAGGCATATTCTGCCTTTTTGTTATAAATGTCATTCAACTGGTACTTTAATTTACATATAGTCTGATATTTATAATTTGAATATTGACTCGCTAAGTCCTTCTCCAACTCCCGTATTTCTTTATCCAAGGTTTCTACCCGTTCTAGATCACTTTTCTTAACTTTTGATGCGTATGCAATCAGCTTTCCTCTTACATATGCTTTAGATGCTTCCCAGACTGTGGCTACTTTGTCTGAGGAACCCATATTGATTTCGAAAAAAATTTTGAGATCCTTTGTTAACTCCTCACTAAAACTTTTGTTCTGCAACAACATCGTGTTAAGCCTCCAGCGACCCCTCTTCGTTCTATCTGTGTTCAAGTCAATTTGCAACTCTACTGTGGCATGATCACTAATGGCAATGGCACCAATCTCACAGTCTACGACTGAATCGACCAGAGACTTTGATATTAAGGCGAAATCTATCCTCGAATATGTTTTATGACAGTTGGAGTAAAATGTGTATTCCCTTGAACTGGAAGCCTAAAATGTTCTTAAAAAATAGGTCAACACACTTGCTGTTAAAATGTGTGTGTGATCACTCCTTTGACTAACCACTCAGTATTTCCTATATAATGACAGGCAGCAGAGAGCAGGAAACTGATGATTTTGGCATTCACGTCACCACTTTGTTTCATAACTTAAAGTGTTCAGTCTATCTGTACCAATCAACCACAACACTAACAGCACTGACAGGTAACAACTAACATCCATCATCTAGCTGCAGACAACCTTGGCTGCTAACCTTCATGTGGAAGTTCTTTTGACACGTACCACCCCTCTAAACATTGTTTGTAGACCATGCACGCAACCTTCTCAGGCAACAGGCCTCTGCAGTGGACCCATAAAAAACACCCAAAGTTTGTTGCTGTGAGATATGAGTGCTAACCACTGTGCCACTATCCTTCTACTGCTGAAAGAACAAAACACACTTTGGTATCCAACTCAAACTAAGCCAAAATTCCAGTTATTTGTTTTCTTCACTGCTTATCCAGCTTAATGTCGTGGGGTTACTGAAGCCTGACCTAGCTGTCACAGGATGAGAGACAAGGTATGTCCCAGATAGTTTAGCCCTTAGGTTTGAAACTGGGGACCTAAGGGCCAAAAAATAAACAAACAAATAAATAAAAAAAATGTTGAAGTATCTGTTTTTGAACAATTTATACTAGCTTTGTTACCAGAAGCTGATAGTCCCGTGTTCCTTAAAATAAATACGAGCAGCTTTGTTTATAACTTGACAAACACTGAAGGGCAATTTTTTCACAAAGTCCAAATATTTCAGTGGAGCAAAAGAGCCGATAACGATTTGTTTTCCCCATATAAGAAAAGATTATTTCCAAGGAAGAGTACTGGAACACACTTCTGGGCCAATCTCTGTTCTGAAGTTTCATATCTTAAAAGTTTAGCAAATCAAAGTGGTCTGTTTCCAGTTTGTCTAATCAAAAGCTCTGTGTTTTCCAAGTGTGTTTGTGTTTGTGTGAGGTCTGGTGTGGTTTAACTCACCAGGGAGGGTTTGATGCCAATGCTCTCAGCTGCCTGGAAAGCTAGAGTCAGATTCCGGACCTGAAGAAAAAAAAAACCCAAAAAACGCTCATATCAGGAAACAGAGAAAATGTGAACGTCTCGGTCATTCTGCAACACTACACATGGAGGAAGAATCAGAAACAATAAGCTCACAAATACCATAATAAACCATACAATATCCCAAGAGACCGTTTGAAGCCTACATAAGCCTCTGCTTTTTTGTGTCAGCTGCATATTCACTCATGTTTATCTGATAAGTTTAAAGCCATACTGGTTGAGAGCTATCAGGAAATCCAATTTGGATCCCCTTGAAGCCTGTAACACAAAACTATTTGTGTTTGTATAATTACATCTCTACAGAAAGCACATGATGAGTGTAAAGAACAAAGTAACCCCTCCATGTGAGCACTGCTGATAGAAAGTCAAACTCATCAACGTACTGAATGCTATGCTTCACTCTAAACTCGGATTAAAATTTTCTCTTTCTTTCCTTCGTACCGAGAGCACAGGCCCCCCCGACTCATGAATAGAAACTCTTGTGATCGCTCAAACCTTCATATTAACTGCCTTGAGGCATCATCACAGCTGGGATGACGAATTGATAAATTATGAATTCTTAATAATTAGTTCTGCAGCTGCAGACCTTCACCTAAAATACAGGTTCGCCTATAATGTCATCTTTCTTAAAAATTCCGTATGATAAAGGGGTGAAGGAGGGCAGGAGTGGGAGTACTGGGAGGACAGATTACACTGGGAGGAAGGTGGGTGTTTGGGCCTTGGGGAAAGTCACTCAGCAACAGTTATTAAAGGCAATGCAGCTCAATTGAATTATTCAGAGAGAGATGGGTTGTGCAATGTTTCTGTCGTCAACTTAATGTTATACTTTCACACTGACATAACCCTGTGTACCCACGCCTGCATCACTAATTTGTCACGTAGGATGTGTCGGGCCTTGTCAGAGGTGTTTGTCTATTGTTTTAATCTTGTAGCGGTGGGGTGAAGGACCCACAGTCCCCAGAGAGGAGCCACATTGTTTGCAGCACTACTGTATATACCACCTGCATGTCTGCATTACACAGCCGTCAGCACTGAGCTATAACTGCTGCTCAGTGCTCCAAATCACTTAGACTACAGAAATGGCTACATTCATAATTCATACTGAGGCTGTCTCTTACTGCAAAATGAACAATGTGGCAGTGCTATAAAACCTAAACATATATGTACAGGAAGTCGGTAATATGCAAGTTAATGATGGAAAAAATCTCTCCTGCAAAATAGCATCAGAGTATTACAGGGCTGTTATCGTCCTCCTGGTGATCTTTCACATGAACACATCAGAGGTTGATCATTTTTATGGCTGACATTCTACTCAAACAAGATGTTGGAGCTTTATGTGCACTTCTGGAGACTGAGTTGTCAGGTTGAACGTGCGCTTTGCCCTGCAGCCTTAATCAGAGAGAACATTCATCCTGAGACTGAAGAAGAAAAAGATGAAAGCAGGCAGAGTGAGTTCATCAAACAAAAACAAAAAAAATTACAAGCGGCTTCTCTGAATTTGAGTTGGAATTCAGAGAAGACAGACAGATATACGTCAAAATATCTGTCTGTCACTTAATCTTATGTAGGTGGAAATTTTTTTTCAGCATTTAGTCAGAGAGTGCTGCAGTAACCTCCAACAGTATGCACATTTCTCTACATGTGAGTTTACTCCAGCGTACAAGCTGACATGAAACCAGAAATTTGCTCAAATATGTGTGTATTAGCTTGTGTGGGTTATGACCCAGTGATCACTGTGAGAGAGAATTCATCCTAAGAATAAGAAAAATGACCCTGATTGCATTAAACATTGGAATACCATATAAGACAATATTAAATCATTTCACATATAAAAAAATTAATAATGGAGCAGCTCCTAAAATAGTAAAACAGGCAATAAAGATAAATATATAAATAAGTCAAGATCAGTATATTTCCAGGTAGAGCAGGGCGATATGACCAAAAATATTTATCACGATATACACATTTGAAAATTTGCGATAACGATATAACTGACTAGACAAAATACTTTACAACAGCAACTACAAAAACCAAATAAAACATCAATGTATCTTCACTTAAACAAGCAGCTGTTTTTTTATGTGCATTAAAGTTATATAATATAAAAAATTAACAGTGCAAATGCAAATTCCTTGCTGACAGTTTAACCAAAAAGCATTTGCAGTGTAAATTGATTGTCCGACATATCCATAACCATGTATAACATCCACAAAACTTAAAAAGAGGTTATACACACAATACGGTAATATTACGTTCAATTCAATTCAGTTTTATTTATATAGTGCCAAATCACAACATAAGTCGCCTCAAGGCGCTTCATAGATACAGAGACAGTACGTATCACTCCGCAAGGCTACTGTCTACGATAGCCGTAATGCTCCATCAAGCGATGCAGGTTTGTAGCTTAGCAAAGTTGTACTGAAACATTTGACAGATTTTCGAGTGCCGTGTACCACATAAAATTGTTTCGAGGTCAGTAAACACAACCAGAATTCATACATAAGGGGCACTGTCAATTTTCAGAAAAATCAAAGGATTGATTTTTAGTATTTTCCATATTTTCCAAAAAAACGCGGTAATAACGACAGCCCGCTAGCGTGCTCTACAAAAAATAGTGCTTTGTTGTGTATCTGACGGACGAAAGCTAAACGAGTTCCACACCACTGAAGTTGCAGCATTTTACAAACCAATTCATCAGTTTCATTCAACGATCCGGTTTCGCGCTTCTAATTCTCTGTGGCCGCCATGCTTTTTCCGCCATGTGAGTATGAAAACAAAGGCACTTACCCATATTCTATCGCGATATTTCATTTTCTTATCGTTGCCCAACATTATACTGGTATTACCGTGAATGGTATGATATGGCCCAGCCCTATTTCCAGGCTTATCTTATTTCTCTCTGCTATTAAAAAAACCCCATTAAATTAGACAGGTCACGTATTTAGAAGTGACAAGCGTGTCCAAACTTTGGATAGCAAAGTAACCTAGTTTGCAATGGAAAAAAAGAGGAAAATAAAAACTGCAATTCTTTTAAAACAGCAATGATGTCATAAAACATACTTTAGCAACATTTTTTTTCTGGCACCCACTTCCAAGGTGCATGGAGAAGACAAAGATCTGATGACGTGAAGACTCCAGTGACACTAAAAGTATTAGAGACCAACTTTACCCGATAGACCACCTAATAGAAGGTACTTTAGTCAGGACCACAACAGTCAAAAGATTTTTCTGATCTGCAGTGAGTGATATCAGGCCGTATGATCTTCTGTTTAACATACATGGAAAGCCACTGGTGGGAAGAAGTATCACAGAAGACAGCAGGCATCAGTGACAACAGATATGACACTGATAGTCAGATATATCAAGTCAGGTATAATATGAATGTAGGTGCCAGGGTGGAGGCAGTTTGCAAAGTACCTTGCAGATATGCAGAACCTGTTTAAGCTGTTTGAAGGTTAAAACAGCTTAAAGAGCATGCTCTACATGTTCTGGGCCCTGACATCAGCTCATCTGCTGATGACCAGTCAGTGCTCCTCACAGAGAACAGTGTGAATTCAGCCTCGCGTAAGTACTGCTCCAAACATGAGTTAACATGACTGATAAACAAAGAACCAAATGTGGCATTAAGGATTAAAAGTGTCAAAAAACAGCAAAGTGCAATTTACTAATTGAAGTAATCTAATAAATTTACATTTATACATTAATTTGCTCACTTGCTCACTCATTGCTATAACTCTCTCCTGGTTTGAACCTAAAATTTCAATCACCAGTTCAGCTCTTGTCTAATTTGATGGACAAACTAATGGGGGCAGAAGCATCTCTGTGCGAGATCTTTGCTGGATTCTTTTTCTGATTCTTAAGGACATGACTTTCAGGTGTTGCTTCTTATGTGCTTGACCTTTAAGGACGCACAGCGGAACATATGAATAAAAAAAGCAGTCCAAAAAATTTCCAAAGAAAAGGTTCAGAAGACCTTGAAAAAGCCCAGAGAACTATTGTTCAAGACCACTTTAAAAATCACATGAAAGTCTGGCTCGATGGAAGCAAAACGTGAAGACACTAGGGGTTTTGCACAGTACTATACAGGGAGTGCAGAATTATTAGGCAAGTTGTATTTTTGAGGAATTATTTTATTATTGAACAACAACCATGTTCTCAATGAACCCAAAAATCTCATTAATATCAAAGCTGAATGTTTCTGGAAGTAGTTTTTAGTTTGTTTTTAGTTTTAGCTATTTTAGGGGGATATCTGTGTGTGCAGGTGACTATTACTGTGCATAATTATTAGGCAACTTAACAAAAAACAAATATATACCCATTTCAATTATTTTTTTTTACCAGTGAAACCAATATAACATCTCCACATTCACAAATATACATTTCTGACATTCAAAAACAAAACAAAAACAAATCAGCGACCAATATAGCCACCTTTCTTTGCAAGGACACTCAAAAGCCTGCCATCCATGGATCCTGTCAGTGTTTTGATCTGTACACCATCAACATTGCGTGCAGCAGCAACCACAGCCTCCCAGACACTGTTCAGAGAGGTGTACTGTTTTCCCTCCTTGTAAATCTCACATTTGATGATGGACCACAGGTTCTCAATGGGGTTCAGATCAGGTAAACAAGGAGGCCATGTCATTAGTTTTTCTTCTTTTATACCCTTTCTTGCCAGCCACGCTGTGGAGTACTTGGATGCGTGTGATGGAGCATTGTCCTGCATGAAAATCATGTTTTTCTTGAAGGATGCAGACTTCTTCCTGTACCACTGCTTGAAGAAGGTGTCTTCCAGAAACTGGCAGTAGGACTGGGAGTTGAGCTTGACTCCATCCTCAACCCAAAAAGGATGATACCAGCCCAAACCAGTACTCCACCTCCACCTTGCTGGCGTCTGAGTCGGACTGGAGCTCTCTGCCCTTTACCAATCCAGCCACGGGCCCATCCATCTGGCCCATCAAGACTCACTCTCATTTCATCAGTCCATAAAACCTTAGAAAAACCAGTCTTGAGATATTTCTTGGCCCAGTCTTGACGTTTCAGCTTGTGTGTCTTGTTCAGTGGTGGTCGTCTTTCAGCCTTTCTTACCTTGGCCATGTCTCTGAGTATTGCACACCTTGTGCTTTTGGGCACTCCAGTGATGTTGCAGCTCTGAAATATGGCCAAACTGGTGGCAAGTGGCATCTTGGCAGCTGCACGCTTGACTTTTCTCAGTTCATGGGCAGTTATTTTGCGCCTTGGTTTTTCCACACGCTTCTTGCGACCCTGTTGACTATTTTGAATGAAACGCTTGATTGTTTGATGATCACGCTTCAGAAGCTTTGCAATTTTGAGACTGCTGCATCCCTCTGCAAGATATCTCACTATTTTTGACTTTTCTGAGCCTGTAAAGTCCTTCTTTTGACCCATTTTGCCAAAGGAAAGGACGTTGCCTAATAATTATGCACACCTGATATAGGGTGTTGATGTCATTAGACCACACCCCTTCTCATTACAGAGATGCACATCACCTAATATGCTTAATTGGTAGTAGGCTTTCGAGCCTATACAGCTTGGAGTAAGACAACATGCATGAAGAGGATGATGTGGACAAAATACTCATTTGCCTAATAATTCTGCACTCCCTGTAAATACAATTGATAATGTGCATCTGTTTTATAAATACTTAGAACTTATAAATGCAATATATAAATTTCCAATGGGTTTCGTTGTTTAGGCGGTTCTGATTAACTGCTGGTGAGCCACTGTGTGTGTGTGTACGTGTTTGCGTGATTGCATGTGTGCTAGGCGTTCCTGTATTTTTCTACCTTATCTTGACTGATGAGTTCGTGGTAAGGGATGTGGGCAGGCAGATATGTGTGCAATAGGGCACAGAAAGCCAGGCCATCATTCCAACTGCTGCTGAAGTTGGTCACATCGATATTCTGAAGGCACAAGGAAAAAAAGTAAAAAAAAAAAAAGTAAAAGAAATTTAAAAAAATTAATTAGAGCAACATAATTTCAATAAAAATAATGATAATCAGCATAAAGTGCTAATAATTCAGGTAGAAGCACTAACAGCCTCTTGACAACATCACCATGCAGTGAAAAAGAAATCCATTAGGTCATAAAATCAAAGGAAAGATAATTAAAATTTAATCAAATTTGAAAGACGCAGAACAGCAGAAGAGTCCAGTCATTGATATTAGGAGGATCTTCTTTCTTGAATCACTTCAAAACAACAATGCTATCTCTGATCTCCTCTGCATGAAGGACATGCATAGCAGCACGTCCAGTTTGTTTGGTTTTAGTTATGTGATTCTCAGAGCATCATCACCTCGTGCACGGAGCATACAGCATATTCAGAGTATGATAACAGGAGAGGAGCTCGGAGGACACACTTCCTCTGGGCCATTGTTTGGAGGGTGCAGACTCTCTGTATAACAGATAAGTTATTTACAGTCTTCCTGTTTCATCCCTCTCATACGCTTTGGGAACAGAGCTCACAGCAAGGGAGGCCCTCGTGAGTCATGGGTACGTGTGTTAGATTCCTCCCATATATTATACGAAACCGGGGAAATTTACACTGCTTTGATCTGGATTCATCCTATTAAGGTGGAAACATGCAAAATGAAAGCTACAATATGAATCTAAGAGCTATTAGATTCACATAGCATTGTATATTCTAGTTGTATGTAATAATAATAATAATAATAATAATAATAATAATGGATTGGGAGGAAGCCAGAGTACCCGGAGGGAACCCACGCAAACACGGGGAGAACATGCAAACTCCACACAGAAAGACCCCGGCCTGATGTTGGAATTGAACTCAGGATCTTCTTGCTGTGCGGCAACAGTGCTGTCCAAAGACATGCAGCTTGAGGGGATAGGTTAATTGGAAAATCCAAATTGCCATTAGGTGTGAATGTCTGAGTGAATGTGAGCGCGAATGTTTGTCTGTCCCTGTGTGTTGGCCCTGCGACAGACTGGCGACCTGTCCAGGGTGTACCCCGCCTCTCGCCCTATGACAGCTGGGATAGGCTCCAGCGCCCCCCGCGACCCTGAAAAGGATAAGCGGAAGCGAATGGATGGATGGATGGAATAATAGATTGGATTTATATAGCGCTTTTCAAGGCACCCAAAGCGCTTTACAATGCCACTATTCATTCACTCTCGCATTCACAAACTGGCGGAGGCAAGCTACGGTTGTAGCCACAGCTGCCCTGGGGCAGACTGACAGAAGCGAGGCTGCCATATCGCGCCATCAGCCCCTCTGGCCAACACCAGCAGGCGGTAGGTGAAGTGTCTTGCCCAAGGACACAACGACCAGAGAGTACGGGGATTGAACCGGCAACCTTCCGGTTACAGATGCGCTTCCCAACCCCCTGAGCCACGGTCGCCCCTTATCTGTGCTTTAATAGAAAGCACAGATAAGGATAATGGGACTGTCATTAGTTTTCCATTATCTGGTCATGAAGTATGAAACAATTAACCATCCTTGTTATGGACTGTCGACCTGTCCATGATGTACTCCCACCTCTCACCCAGTAACAGCTGGGCTAGGTTACAAAACCACTACCTCACCCCCGGAGTGGCTAGGTGGTTAGGAAAATAGGTGGGACAATGAACTATAAAGGGCACTGTGATCTGAGAAATCTTACTTCAAGCATGTTTACTACTTCTATTGAGGCACCAAAGGGAACATTAGGGTCAGTTTATATTAAAACTGGAGTACGCAAGACAGAAATGCAAAGATAATTACAAATGACAGAAAAAAGTGGACATGGAGTAAGAAGCTGTCATAGGCAAGAGTTAGTGCAGTATATACATATGGGATAATGTATTTGGATGGATCATATTTGTGGTGATGCAATATAAAACATATTTTAATGGTATTGTGGTATTGTGCCACAGTGATGATAATTATCATTATAACACAGTCTCTTGATAAAGTTTTGTTTTGAACTCTTTACTGCACATAATAATGTTTAAATGGTAAATGGACTGGTTCTTATATAGCGCTTTTCTACTCTGTCCGAGCACTCAAAGCGCTTTATACAGCTGATTCATTCACCCAGTCACACCCATTCACACAAGCACTTCTAAGCTTAAGTGCTAAGTATCTAACATTCACACACATTCACACTCCGATGGATGCATCGGAGAGCAACATGGGGTTAGTATCTTGCCCAAGGATATTTGGCATGCAGACTGGAGCAGCCTGGGATCGAACCACCGACCTTCTGGTTAATGCCTGATCCGCTCTTCCACCTGAGCTACAGCCACCCCAAACACAGTTTTATTTTATATCTCCCAGTCACAATTAAGCACATTGAACTGCATTGTCCTGTACAGAACGTGCCATAAAAATGCAGTTTGATCGATAGAGAGGAATAGACAGTGTTTGGGATAAGAACTGCATTAAAGATCTTTTTGGGTACATCAGTGCGTCTGTAAACACAGCATTAGCTCCAGGGAGATGCTAAAGATGTGACATGTATTTGTTTACTGTTGCTCTAAGCCGGTGGTCATCAATCCTTGCCCCGGGGCCTGAGGGCTGCTGATTTTCATTCTACAAATCGAATCAGCGACTGATCCATACATGTGACGCCAGGTGAATGTAATTAACTACCTGATGGGATAGAAAAACAACAACTCTGGGTCCTGAGGACAGAAATTCAAAATCACAACTCTAAGTCACTGGAGTAATCAATATCCTCTGAGTTTCTAAGAAATGTTGACAGTTGTTCACTCGTCTACTTTGGCGTTAGAGGTTAGCTCAACTTAAAACCAGCTGCAGTTTCAGGGTGAGAGGCTAAACCAATGATAAGAGAAGGAAGAAGTGGTGCTATGCTGGGTTGTGATGTGGCTGTGACATTTACACATATCTACTGTGGTATATGATGCTATTTAATTGCTACGAAAGTGAGAATAGCTAAACCAGCGCAGAAGAGCTTGAGCCATGCTTTTATAGTTACACTTTACAGATGCCCCCTAAAGGCCTCACAAGCATGCAATTATAAAGTTACTGTTTTGAAAAGGGGACAGCTGTATGGTTACAGTCACTGAATGCATGTGTGTGTGTCTGCATGATGTGGCTGTGCAGAGCAGGCAGTTTGCATGTTGCTGCTTTCTTGGAACAGCTCCTCCAAATTACATGTGACAATGATTGAAATTGCTTTTCTCAGAAAAGCAAGAAAAAGATAAGCAGAAATATAGTGTCTTCATGTAGAACTGTCTTTGTGTGACTTTTAGTCCCTGTAAAAGTTAGAAATCTTTAATCTGTGCTCTTTTTTGTAGATCATTTAAAGTTTTCAAAGTTTAACCTAAACCTTAATTTCAAGTTTAAGTAATGTTTTGGATTTCAGTCGTGAGGCTTAATCTTAAGCTTAAGAGGCTTGGTGTCAATGCCCATCCATGTGCACTGTCATTTTGTAACTCGAGAAAACATAAAACTCCCAAATATAAAAACATGAGAGCTGGTCAACCAAACAAGCTGATCCAATTTGTGTCATAATGTGGCTCAGCAGTGCGTATCGCCCTAATGTTTTAATATAAGACCTCCCAACATATGGGGATTCTGCAGAAGAGAGTATGGATGGAGTCCGGGAGGATCAGAGCATCGGGGGGCTCCTGGACATTCTCTGGCACAATCTGGCGGTATCAGATACAGCAATACATAAAGTTCCAGAGGTTCTCAATTGGACTCATCTCTGTGGAATGTGAGGGCCAGTCATTGGCATCAATGCCTTGGTCATCCCAGAAGTGCCTACACATTCTGATCAAATGAGGCCAGACAGTGTCATGTGCTAGGAGGAACACAAAGCTCACTGTACCAGCGTAATGTCTGAAAATGGGTAGTGTTGGCTAGCGCACAGAAGTCTGTGCGGCCCTCTATCAATAACCCAATGCCAAACCCGTCATGCCGGATGGTGTTGCATACAGTGTCACCAGACGCTTTAACATATGATCAGCGTAAACCTGCTTTTATCTGTGAGGATAATGGCCTGCCAGTGGTGGCTAGTTCTGGTGTTCTCTAGCTAATGTCAGTTGCATTGCATAGTGCTGGACTGTGACGACTGCCTATGCAATTTGAATAGACTGCAGGTACTAGAATAAAATGCAAAATTAGATAAAGATCAGCCAGGATGGATAAGGAGAGAGCAGTGGTCTGTAGATACTGCTTAAAAAAAACCAAACATTGGTTTTTGGGTGTTGTTTGATGTTGCCTCTGAAAACATAGTTCAACTTGAGGAGTACTAATAACTTCAGGTGGTATGTGTGTGCACAGACGCTAAAATTTGCACAATGAATATTTATCACACTATTAATGGAGAATGAAAGTGTGTTTTTGTTTGAGTCATCAAGCCAAGCTGCAAAACATCTGTGGTCACAATGAGTTCTGAAGGAGCAGGAAGTCCTGAGTTCAGGCTTTGTTCACATTCAAGGAAAGCAATAAACACATGATGCAAGAAATTTTAAAGGAAGTTCCTGTCATTATATATATATATATTATAGCCCCTTGACAACCCTCAATAACTATTATTAATATACAGTGACATGTTCATAAACTGACACCGAAAGCGAAGCTGCACCGGCCCTTTTTTCATCTGTCAGCTATGAGCCTGTTCCATGTGAAGGCCAGACCTGTGCAGTCATGTCAGATCACATTCCTCTCACAGCTCCCCATTCCCTCTCGTAGCTGGCTCAGCAGCAGCACTAATCACAGTGTGTGTGTGTGTGTCCATCCTACTGTATGTGCAAACATACAAAGACACGCACAGTCAGACTCCAGGACAAAGATGGACAGTGACAAATAAGTTGATAAGAAAAAACTGCAAAGGGCAGATTCGCATGTGTGACATGTGTGAGGGAGTGTGGCTGGATAGGGAGACTGACATTTTGACCCAGCCCAGAGCTGGTGGTACAGGTATGTCTGAGT